ACATATTAGCATAATGATACATGATACATGAATTGTTTTTATATTATGCAGGGGAAGCAACATATAAATACAACAGAAATATGATTTCTAATTCTTGAAATCTTCGCAACCCTATAACTGCTCACATTAAAACTTACAGTAAACTCTATCCATACTTCTTTGATAATAGTAACTGAAAGAATTGGCAGCTTGACAGGAATTTTTAGCCTCAAAATACATACTTAGAATGTCTTACAGTGTTGATACTGTAGTTTTATTCTACTAGAATCACAAACATGGCATTGCCATATCAGAAACCAAATCATAATATGCTTAACAGAGTTTTGTTTTTAGTTTCCAACTAACAACCAGTCCGGGGTAGCCATATACAGTATATACAGGTAACCCGTGACTTATTATCACAATCGAGCTCAGAATTTCTGTTGCTAAGTGAGACAGTTAAGTGAGTTTTGCCCATTTTATGATCTTTCTTGCCATGGTTTCTTGAATCACTGCAGTTGTTAAGTTAGTAACAAGGTTGTTAACTGAATCTGGCTTCCCCATTGATTTTGCTTATCAGAAAGTTGCAAAAGGTGATCACATGACCTCAGGGCACTGCAACCGTCATAAATATGGGAAAGTTGCCAAACAGCCAAATTTTGATTATGTTACCAAGAGATGCTGCAACTCTCATAATTGTGAAAAATGGTCATAAGTCACCTTTTCCCATACCATTGTGACTTTGAAAGGTCACTAAACAAATGGTTGTATGTCAAGGACTACCTGTATATTCATGAAATTTTGGAATCCCTTTTAGGTAAGCCATGGGCAGAACTGTAAAAATGCTAATGAGAATCTCCATATAAATTGGTTGATAAGTAAAATAAATAAAATGAATCTCAGAGTCCTTCAGTAATACACTCCCTTCCAACCTGAATGCTGAAGGAGATAAAGCTAATCCTTCATATATAATTTAGAAGCAAGTTAGGCACACAAAGCAGCAATCAAAAGTCAAGATTGCGAATTTCTCAGTACAGGAACTTCTTTTTCAACAAAAACACTGGCACTGACATGGAATGATACCCATCTTTATCAGTTTGATTAACTATGTTAGACTAAGACAAGACAAACTCAGTTTCAAATCCATTTTTAACCAAGAAAATTCAGTGGCAAAATGCAACTTTATTTTAAAGCCAGCCCATTTAGAGTTCCTCTTCCTCACCATCCAATTCCCTTTCCATTTGTAAAGCATTATGTTACTATATAAATCACTTGCTTTATCTACAGGAGGTGTAGAGAAGTTGGTACAGTCTATTGGTACAATTTTGGACTTCTTTACTCTAAAGATTCAAGCCAGATGTCAATTACAGAGATGTGGCCCAAAACATCTAGAAAGTACTAAATTTATCCTATGCTTGAGGGACAGGTTACAATGAACCTAGATATCTGGTATGAACATATGTATATATCAGAGGTGGGTTGCTGCCAGTTCGGCCCAGTTTAGCTGAACCAGTAGCGGCGGTGGTGGGAGATTCTGCCCACCCGCCTGGATGCTTCAGTGCATGCACAGAAGAGTTGCACACACGAGCAAACCAGTAATAAACCAGTTAGCAATCCACCACTGGTGTATCCGTATGTATTATATTCTGTTTTATTATTTTTATTAAAAAATCGCAAGCCAGCAAATATATCTAATATTCCTTCCTCCTCCTATTTTATCCTATGATATGAGTTGGGCTGAGAGTAAGTGATTGGCCCAACTGGCTTTCATGGCTAAGGTGGAACTGGAACTCATAGTTTCCTGGTTTCTAGCCTATTGTCTATAACTAACCTGGATATCTGAGCTATTACAGACATTTACATGACACAATACTTTATTCTTATACTTATTTATAGGTATACTTGCCTCTGCATTCAAAAAGTGGCAGAACTGGGAGGCGGAGTTAAAAGATGGATCAGTTTGGAATCCCTGCGTAGCCACAAGCAGACTAAGTACAGCCTTCCTTGAATTAAATGGACCCTTATCTAACTCCAAGCAGCTGCTGATCATGAGTTGAGAAGACTCCTGTGCACAGGCTATTCAACAATCAATCAGTTTAACCTTCGCCTGTGGACCTGGTATTTTGTACCTGATAGTTTAATATGTAACTCAAATGCCTCTGACAAAGAAAAATCCTCACATACACAATTTAACAATGATTCAAAATGCTTTTAATATGAGGTTTAAAAGAACCTTCCAGTATTCAAATTATATTTAAGATTATATATAGTACTTCCCCTGACTACTGCACTTTGCATCCAGCACTCCAAGTAATTGTTTATATGCAACTTTCCCAGATACTTACTATTATTGTAGGCAACCTTCCCAAAGCTATACATTTTATAAGTAAATTTGGGGCTGAGATTCATAAATGTACAAATTTGTGTTTAAATGAAACTGCAAATCATACCTTCTGTTGAAGCAGCATCAATCATCACGCGTTGCATCAAAACTGGTTCAGTCCCAAAATCAAATACCACAGTTTGACGAAAGGTCCCAAAGATTTCTGTGCTAAAAGCTACACTGATTTTGTACACTGAATGATCTGTTCCATTCTGGGTCATCTTTCCTCCAACCCATTCCTGACAGGTTTCTGGGACTTCTTGTTTTATTTGGGTGGTGCTATCTCCAGCCGATATTGCCATGATACTAAAATGAGGACGATGCGCATCATAAAGGAGTGCCACTCGATACAGCATTCTTGCAGGCTGTGAAGAAAAAAGCTTCTAAATAATTGTGGAACATGTTTACTGATTCCTCATATTCCTTCCTTCCTTTCTTCCTCCCTCCCTCCCTTCTTCACATTTATGCAGCCACCCATCTGACAAGCTGTGACTCAGCATACAATAAAAATAAATGAACCATATACACCTATCTATATATCCATCTATATATCTATCTATATCTACATTTATATCTATATAAAATTTAAAAGACTAAAAGACATTATATCTGATGTTATGGACCATGGACCATATATTATATCAATAATTCTCCATTTCTATTAGTTCCCCAAAAGTTTTGACATAGCCACATTTGAGGGGCTTCTGGAAGGTTACCAATACATATTGCAATGCAGTGGTGATTGTTTCTATAGCTCTACACAGAATACAACCATTTCCTGCAACTTCAAAAATACTGCAGGTTTTCTTATTTAATCAAGAAAAAATGAAATGTTACATTATAAATAGTTTGGAAAGGGGGAAGTGAGAAAATTCTCTCAATAATAATTTGCATTTAAATAATAGGTTAGAGTTCAACGTGCTTTACATAAATGAAGGAATTTTATACTGATCTGTAAAATGGCCCACATCAGAAACATGAGAAGCCAAGTTTACCCCAAACCACCTTCAAAATCACTGTCTTCAGTGGCATGCTACATTAGTTCATGATTCTTGGCTCCGCTGATGTTTCCATGGCCTAATGAAATCTATCTCAGCATTCAGCTGAAACCATTTAGCAAGGCTCAGCTTTATAAACAGGAGGCAAAGGTGAAGTCATTAAAACAAGCCCAAATCACAAAAAAATCTATGAATATATAGATATTTAGATACCTTTCTTAAATCATAACAGTAATGGAATGTAGATATTCAGGTAAACGTTAACTGTAGAATTTATCATATGGGTTAAGTTTTTTCCATTGCAAGTTTTTATCTCACAAACTAAATTTGGCATAGTATAGTCCCAAGAACATGCAAATTTCAAAAGAGAAGTTGTTTGAAATCTTAGGATTAAGTACCTATATTTATGTTCCAGCAATGAATTGTTGTTGTTTTTTTAAAAAAAGACAGAATCCTACCTTACATGTAACAGCAAAAGTCCACATCTGATGTGATTTTTTGGTGGTGACAGTAATTGAGAGTTCAGGGCTATGTTCAACTCTTACTCCATCAAGACATTCACTGAGCTACAGAAAATGCAGTGTTAGAAATTTTACAGGTATTAACAATGCTAGAAAAATAATTATGGGTTTAACTGAAGACCAACATGTTAATAAGACCAATATAAGTGAATGGTCAGTTTATCAATTAACATTTTATTGTAGTTATACTATATTATATTCTATACTCCGTGCAAAAAAAAAATTCAAACTTTTCTGGAAATATTTTCCATTAAAAAAAATCTGTTTTACACTTGAAATAACTTTTAAAATTGGAATGGGACATTTTGCAAAAAATTCTGTCCTTGAAAACATCAAGATGAAATATTTTATGTAAACTTCCATTAATGCAAGTCTCTATACATGATTCATACATATATTTATTTGGGAGCCTTCAAGCCAGTCCTGACTCCTCATGACAAGTCCCTGTAGTTTTCTCAGCAAGATTTTGTAAGGGGTTTGCATTGGAAGGGTTTTGAGAGAGTGACTAGCCCAAAGTTACATATATGGTGTCAAAATAAGAATGGGTTACAAATGGAAAATAATATAATATACACTCATTCTGTAGCCCTATAACAATATTTGTTTCAAAAAAAACCATATGGAAACATCTAAGAGTAAAATATCACAAATATTTCACAAAAACATGAAGTTTTCAATTTCATATGCAAGAATCAGAATCGGTTTGTGATTTTTTTTTATTAACAGAAATAGGCAACTGTGTAATATAAATAATATTTTGAGGGTGTTAAAAAATCTAGCAGACAGTGTCAAAATCAAGCTCCTAATTTTATGTATGAGCACTGAGGGATGCATTTATTCTTACCACTTTCTCAGGAGATAATGAATTCATCCATTTTTCAATTAAGGATTCCATGTAACTTCCCAAACATTGCTTGTTTTCTTTCTGTTGTTTTAACTTTATCAAGCGGGAAGCGTATCGTTTCTGCCATTCAGTCAGCTCATCCTGGGAATGTGCTGAAGTACACTGTGCACCGTATCTGCAAATTCCTTGCTCTAAAAATCTGCATTAAAAGGGGAAGAAAAACATTCCTTAAATTCCCCATTTGAAATAGCCTCCAAAGGCATAATTTTTTGAGTCTTGAGTTCTGAATTTCCCAACCACGCCTAACTAAAACTGTTAACCATACCCCGATCTGCAAAAGGTGCAGCTCAATCAATCCGCTTACAATTGCACCTGTTGCAAAGCTGTTGCAAGGTAAGAGGTTGGCAGAAATAATCTGAATATGCCAGTCAAACTAAATATTTAGAGCCTGGCTACAGTATAATTTATCCCAGAATATTTAAGGAAAGGCCTAAACTGACAAATGTTAGTTTGCAATGGTGGCAAATATCCCCTAACTCCACTGAAGATCTTACCTAGCCTGGTAACGAAACATTCGGAAACCAACCCACAACTCGGCGAATGAACCTCCCTACCCTCAAATGTTAGTTTATTCAGGAAATAAGTGTGTTCCTTTTATCCTAATCATAAAATATATAGAATTGTCCAAAAGCACAATTTCATATCTAAAGTATACATCCAAAACTCACAGGGCTACTACAAGGGGAGTGTTTTTCAAATGGATATGGTGGGGGGGAGGGGAGGGAGAGAGGGAGGAAGACAGAGAAAGAAATCAGTATATGATCTTCCCAGTTTTCTAGATTCTTAGTGACACCTTGTGGCCTTTTCTGCTTATTTCAGATTCATATTGGCACAGTCAGTAAATAATTCAAATGGCTGCATTTTTCCCACCACCACTTTATGCATCCAAGGCTATATTTGGATTTATTTGTGTAATTAAACTAATTTTCCCACCAATTCTGTTGCCAGTATAGGAAGTGCTTCATAAAAGCTTACCACCTGGAAGTGTAATTTATAAACTATTTACAGTCTGCAATATGTTTTGTTTTGGCACAGACAGCAAGAAGAGCAGTTCAGCAGTGGAACCAATCACCAAGGCATGCACATGCACTCCTACACAGGCATCTGTCCATCTGTTCTTGGGATTCCTGCACTGAACAGGAGTTGGGGTCTTTGTCCTTTCCAACCCTGTGATTCTAAGAACCTAGGAGTTAATTGCTAGGTTTTCAGGCACTGCTATATTGCCATTTCTTTATGCTTTATATGGGAGTTATAATACACCTGTCACCGAGTAAAAGTTATTCACTTAATTTGGATAATTTATTAATAAGAATATTGCTGTACTTTTTGTCTGTTTATTTACCGGTATGTGTTTTAAGTATAATTCTAAAGGATATAATTAGGTAGTCTGGAAAGGCAAGCTGAAATTGTTAATAATGAGAAAATGCAGATTTTTTTAAGATGACTAAATAACATTTTTAATTTACATTTTAAAAAGCTCAAATATGCGTTGCTTTCAAGTCAACTTAAATAAACCATCTGAATGGGGGGCGGGGAAAATTTCTCTAAAAGCATCATCATAAAACATCTTCATACAGACTTCTAAACTCAAGCCACAATAACATTTTAAAACTTCAGGATACTTATGCAAATCTATCATCTATCATCTATCAAACAGGTTTATCAATCCGATAGTTACAAATGAAACAGACACTACAAAGTCTATTGATCTTACAAACAAAGCAAATACAGGTAAGAATTCAGATTGTGTTATACTGCAAATGAATGTATGTGGTTAAATGAATATATACACTGTGCACATACTTCATCGAGATGGGTGGATAATTGTGGATATTACAATTTGAGAACTCTCAAATTGTAAGACAAAAATAATCAGTAAACTGGAAGCAAGTTTAAACATTAGCTTATGAATATAAAAATGGGGAAGCAATAGTTATANAATCTCTCTATTCAACTGAAAGGCATAATTTTAAAATATGAGGTTCCATTAATGTCTATTAACTTGTTCATTTCTTCATCAGCTACAATTTAAATAATAAATGTTAATACTAAAAACAACTGTTACTGAAGCTTACTTTCTTAAGATCTTGTTGTAAGTCTATTGCCATAAATCAACAGATTCACAATCCTTCCCTCCCTCCTTTTCCTAAATCTCAATTCAATATCATGCTTACTGCAAAAATAGATTTTAGAAGCTAGCTCTTTTAACTGACCGATATTGTAATATCACTCAAAATATGGGAGGTGCCAATCTACAGGATCTTCAAAATGTATAATTAGAACTCTGAAATATCCATCGCTCTGCTATTTAGAATAATTTCACCATACAGGAGAACAATTGGTTTCAGTCTAATATTTAGGGATCTGCTGCCATCACTTAGAATCAGACAGAGTCCAAATCAGAATCTTTATCATGACTCACTAATCATATTATAAAAAGCTATAATTTATTTATTTGATAATGTACATTTAAAAGCTGAAGTTTTATTTCTGAAAGGGCTGAGTAGCTATAGATCTTTACATAGTGACAAAATGTAACTATACTATACCATCAATCATTGTTATCCATGTGGCTGTTGTGAGTACAGTTCAATAGCTTCTAAGGTATCATAGATTTTCCATGTCAATAACTAAACAGAGGTAGGAATATGATGAAGTCCTCATATATTTTAAATTTTTAATTTACTTAGAAAGTGAAATACAATTATTTTCCTAGCCATTATAAATAATATGTGGTAAAGTCAATGGCTAGATTCAGTGAAATAAATGGGAGGTTGAGTTTAGATACATCACATTGGAGTGATTCAGTAGTTTACATGTTTAACACAGTTTGTTTAAGTATGCATTGCTTTTTCCAAGACTATCCTGTTCCCCTCTCTCACACAAGACACACATGTTTAAAAAATGAAGTAAGCTGATGTACTCAAAGATTTACCTAGTGTGTGCTGGCAAAGAATGGCAGTTGCCAGCTCCATTGTTTCCACTGCACTTAGCTGCTAGCCGTGGAATAGCTGGCTAGAACACTAGGTGTAGTGACTCAACTCTACCCTCAACTGGCTCGCAAAATTCCAAAAAAATAGCTATCTGCTGTTGCCAGATATGACACCAGCATACCACTGGAGTTACCATAAATGAATGAGAATTATATTTCTCCTTATACATTCACTGCAAGAACACAAGAGGCCAAGAAAATTGTTACCAATTCCAGAAACAGATGTTATTTCCAAATTACTAGGTTGTTGGTTCAATGTATGCCATGCACAAATTCACAAACTTTAATGGCTGCTTGAATCTAAACCCCTCATTTTTAGGACAATGGACTTCAGAACAACCAAATGTTAGCGGCTTCATTTCAAAATAATAACAAACAGGAACATAATGTTACCCTTAAGTGTAAGACTAAAGGCCTATCTAGACTACATCCTATTTTCAAAAATGAGCAACTAGATGTCTCACAGAAACCCACAAACAAAAAGTGAAGGTTCTTTTCTGCCATTGTTCCTGAGTAAATGAAATATCTAGGTGTTCTGTATTTCCTGATCTATAATGGCTTAGGGTGGCAAAGACACAGATAAAATCAAGGAACTTTCCATAGATTATATTGTGCTGGCAGTAAAATGTCACTAATAAAGAAGAATATTTGCAGCTCAGGGTTGGCATAAGGGGTCCTTGGTGCTCTCTGAGTTTGCACTGATGATGCTACCTAATTTGGGTAATGAAACATCTGCAAGAAAAGAAGTAAGCTCACAGAGCACCAAGGATCCCTCAAGCAAAATGTCAATCAAGAGATCAAAAAGGTGGAGGCAGAACCAGGACACAGTCCAAACAGAGGATGGAGCTGTAAGATTACTAAATCCTAACTATAAAGCCTGATTTCACAAATAGAAAAAATGTTAAAATACTCAATGGCCAAAAAGTATATTGAATTAAAACAAAACAAAACAAGTCTGATACATTTTCAAGTGCATGTAATTCTTTGCAATGCTGATTGGGACAAAAGAGTAATATTAATCAATGTATCCAAGCTCCAATAACAAAAAGGAGAATAGGGACTATCTTGTATTGAATAAAGCTTTCCAATTCTTTTTTCTCATTGTGGCTTCCCCAATCATCTTCTGGAATGGCAAAGGGTGTAATACTAGGATAAATAGAAATAGCAANCCAGCTGAGTTCACCCTTTTTTAAAGCCATTTTTCGCCCTCCCCAGGCTCCAGAGGCTTTATAGGAGCCTGGGGAGGGTGAAAAAAGCCTCCCCCGCCACCGCCACCGCCCGGAGACTTCATGAGCTTCCCTGAAGCCTCCAGAGTGCAAAAAAACGGCCCTACAGGCAAACCGGAAGTTCAGGAACGGACTTCCAATTTGCTCGGAGGGTCGTTTTAAGTGCTCCGGAGGCTTCAGGGAAGCCTCCTGAAGGTTCCTGAAGCCTTCAGAGCACTCAAAACGACCCTCTGAGCAAACCGGAAGTGACTTCTGGTTTGCTCGGAGGGTCGTTTTGACTGCTTCGGAGGCTTCAGGGAAGCCTCCTGAAGGTCCCTGAAGCCTCCGGAGGGCTTCCGGGGTGGAGGCTGTTTTCCCCCTCCCTAGGCTCCTATAAAGCCTCTGGAGCCTGGGGAGGGCGAATAAAGCATGCAAAAAATGGGGGGGTCACGCCTGTAGTGCACACATGCACACTGGGGGGTTGCAAATTGCATTATGGGTGCGGCACACCTGCACACGACCCTCCCTGTGCTCCCCCCACTTATGGCACGCAAGCCAAAAAAGGTTCGCCATAGCTGTTCTAGATGATGCCTACATATGAGAAAATGAATACAATATTAAATAATATCTGATTTCTTTTAAAAATACCCAAATATCAAACAGAATTTTGTTTACCAATTTCAGTTTCATCTTTCTCCATAACTAATGATTTCAAACTGAGAAATATAGAAAACATGCATTATTTTACCTTTTGCATAATGTGTATTCTTCACTACTTGTGACTCCCCGGGGTGGGGGGCGAAATTGCCAGCCATCATGACATCCTGCCACATGATGATAAAATGCAAGTTATTTTTTTTTGTTCCTACTATTCTTTAATTCCTGGTACATAGTATATCCAGATTGAAACCATATAATTAATTATAGACAACTTATCACTGTATTCCAAGCAAAGGGAAACCATTGATCCTCATTAGAAATAATATCCACCAAGTGTTACCTAAAGGAAAGTGACTCAGAGGGAGTTTCCAAAATTAGGAGCTATTCTTTTCAATTAATATTTGTCCATCATTTTCTTATATAAATCAGAAATCACTTACACCAAAAAGATCCTGGCAAATTAGTTTGATTGCCATTACATTTCCTGAAGCATATATTCAAAAGGTGAGTTGCACTTCAGAAGAGAGTACAATTTCCACACATTTTACAGAATACAGAACCCAATTCCAGAAGCAGGAAAGATTACCACTTAATTGCTCTGGATTGGGAGCCATATTAAAAACCATTTATTTTTCTATGTTGCTTTTATTTCCTATCTACACTGGAGAAAATTGTTTTGCTTCATATATTCTGAATATATATTAAACATTGATACATTATGCATTTTATTAGTTTTTAAATAAACATATTTGAACTCATTTTATAGAAAAAAAGAGAAGCATGATGTTTTAAATACGGGTAGTCCTCGACTTGTGACCGTAATTGAGCCCAAGGTTTCTATTGCAAGCGAGACAGTTGTTAAATGAGTTTTGCCCCATGTGATGACCATTCTTGCCAGGGTTGAAAAATGAATCACGGCAATTGTTAAGTTATTAAAATGTTTGTAAATTGAATCTGGCTTCCTCAGTGACTGTTTATCAGAAGACTGCAAAGGGTGATCACATGACTCCAGCATAAATATAAACCAGTTGCCAAGCTTTCAAACTTTGATCATGTGACCATGGAGATCTTTTAATGGTCATTAAGAGTGAAAAACGATCATATGTCACTTTTGTCAGTGCCGTCATAACTTTGAAAGGTCACTAAATAAATGGTTGTATGTTGAGGACTACCTGTAAATATAAATACACCAACAAATAAGGAAAACGTTCTATTGTGACTATTTCTCACTTAACCCGATTAATCTTTTTTAAATTTGTCTGATACAAAATGGTAAGACAAACATGCTTTTTCTACCAACTAATTAGCAATTCCAAGGCTTACTTAATATCAATATTAAGTAAATATTTTGAAGTGTACCTTCTTCCACCTCTTCCACATGATGTACCGAGGGTATTTTACAAGTTGCTACCTGCAATCATAAAGATCAAAATCAATTTCAAATATGCTTCTATTTACCATGTGTATAAAAATAAGTAAAATATCAGACTTCTATGGTGTACTAGACGTCCACGAAGGAACACTAAACTAGATTACTCTGAAGAACTCACCTCGTGTTTTATAATGACATTGTCTTAGTTATTACCTATTTAATCACAGAAGGCAGATATCGGAATAAAATTCTCCAGAGAAAATCATAAGTAGGAGATGTGCCTTTAGAAATTGCAAGCATTATTCTCCACTATCTTATAACCTCCTTTTAATTTCAACTATGGTGACTTCCAACAAGCATTGTTTGTATCATATTTATGATGCCAGCTTAATACTAACACTTTAAATTCTCCATTAAAACATTACAAGCAGCTCTTAGTTGCAGATATCACATGACATCCTGACAGCTATAAAGGTAGACAAGAAATGGGCAGATGAGACAATGTAGGCTTGTTTTGTAACATTTAAAATGTAAACCCAAATCAACAATATTGTTACTCAAGATAACTGCGCTATAAAATGTAAGGTAGATGAATAACTGCTATAAAACCACAGATAAAAGAGGATATTAAAAATACTTCTTAAATTATGGCAGCCATCTTCAAATTGGGAAAACAAAAACTGTGTCTAATATAAAAAAAAAATCCTTTATTTCAGGAAGAGAGAGATATCCTTACCTCTGTTTGAACAAGAAGGTTTTTCAGCCTCGTCAGATCTTTAGTTACCATCCCATTCTGCTAAGAAATAATATAATCACATTCTGCTTATTTGTTATCTATTACAAAAATAAAACTGAAACATTTTTCCTATCAGATTTTTTTTCATGGTCACATGTAAGAAGTTTAGTTTTAGGAGATGCAGACAACTTTTTAGTGTTTTTTCTACAGCACTGTTTGGCTGAATGCTTTGGAATGACTACAGACCAGTTTGAAATATAATCTATCAATTTAATTAAAGAGGGCAGTTTTTCTACTATGCTGAAACTTCTTCTCCGTTTTGTTTCATAAAATGCGCCTTTCAAACATGAAATGGCAGTCGCAAACCTAAAAAACTACCAATAACATTATGACACATGAATATTTCAAATCAGAAGTCTGCATGGGCCAGCTCAGTGGATAAGATTGCAAGGATAAATTATGCAAGTTAACTTTGCTTTCTGTAGTCCTTTTTTGCTTATTGTGCAATGATTTCACTTCAATGCCCACTGGGAAGGAAGCAAAGGCTTACAAATCACTGCCAACTGTGATTTGCCACATCGTATACAGTTTGCACTATGGTTAAGCCTTCTGCAATTTTTCACAATTTCTAATACAAATAAATATCAATCCAAATATTTACTGCTGAAGAAAGCTGTGGCGCACGTACAAATATGAACCACAAATAAAATTTGGGTAAAGGTAGAGAACCTTTGCTAAAATTTGAACCAGAAACTTGCATTAAATTTATCTGTCTTGGCCTTGGTTCTGTACTATTTAAAAAAAAAACAGGTAAAGATACGGTTACTTCTTCTGGTAGCCCTTTTGACCTAAACTACTCCGTGCTGTAGCAACCTGTGCATTGCTCCAAAGCAGTTTTACCCCCATATAGAAAATTTGATTCCATAATTAAGAAATTGGTGATTAAACAGGTATTTCCCATTCCGTGCATGATGGTACTAACTGAAATTGAGCCACTATCCACTTTTTGAAAAAATCTATTGCTTGAGAACTGATTTATGATGTATATTAGAAATATTAGGGAATAAGGACTGGCAAAAGTTTGATATCTCATATGGGGAAGAATACATTTTCTGTTCTATATCTGCTTCCAATATCTAATAGAGAAGACCTTAGAGAAGCTATGCAGAGATAGTTTCAGCAACAGGTACAACTCAGACTGGCTCCATCCCAACCCTCTGGGGTCTGCAAGGGATGCTGTATAATGTTAAGCTTCCGACATTCTGTTATTATAGTCTGTATCAATTCATTACTATCCCATAATCTGATTTTACTGAATCTGTTGCAAAAACTGGCCAAAACCACACACACAAAGTTGACAAATTGGGAGTCTGTGAATTTATATATATTAAACCAAGAATAAGCATGCTCTCATGATATAAGTAAGATTAACGATCTATGGCTAATTCAATGCAAAGTAATTTTATTACAGCCTTAAACCACAACTATGTTACAAACAGCAAAAACACCATTAATAAATTTAGTAAATATCAGTTCCTATATCCCAGGTAATATAATTAGCAATCTGCTTCTCTGAGAGACACTGAAAAACACAATGTTCTAGATGCAAAAAAGGCAAAATTTTGCAATTGAGTTGCTCTCTAGTTCTTACCAAACAATTCATAGAAAACCATCTGTATCACCTGGAAAACTAGTTAATAAAGGATGGATAAGCCTTAACTAAGAATCAGCAAAAAATCTGTAGCATTAAAGGATATGTTTATTTGTGTCTTATTAGTTTCAGAGACAAAATCTCTGGGATACTGGGATATATTTTATTTACACTCTAAAAATACGAAAGAGGAGGACATTAATGTAAGTTCCCAGAAAATGCCCATAGATTATTTTAAGTAGACAACTGAAGACAAGTAATTTGCAAGGGAAATTCTCTGGGTTTCTTTAAGAGATCAATACATCCCCATTGTTTGTCTTATATTTTATCACTTTATGTGTTAAGTTCACTTGATGAACTTTCCAACATTATCTAACCCTGAAAATAATTGACATTTGGGGAGAAACCACACAATTATAAATTTACTGATGATGCTCTTCTGTGAAACCTATAATTATCCGTTATTAAAAACGAAAGCAGTTCAACTTAAATTAGATGGATCTCCAGCCATACTAATAATATCACTTGGCAAATTTGGCCTTCAATTTTAATCAGCCAAGCCAATGTAACATGATTAATAGAGATGCATGGGGATTTGATTAAAGAGTAATATGACTGAATCATAAGTCTAAATCACCTTGGAGATTCACCATTTGCTGAATATACATGTTTTTCCAAATCGAATCCATTTTACTTACTGAATTAACAATTAAAATGAAATCAACTTGTTGAATCAAATCACTGACTTGATTTGGAGACTGGATGATTTATAGTCCTAATGCTTTACAAAACAGATAAGTGACAAATATGGTCTGCTAGTGCCCAGTTCATTTCTTGCAGAAATAATCGAAGTTTCTTCTGTCTATGAAAGTGACTAGAATCAAGTACTATTCCATTTATTAAATGGAAAACAACAAAATAAAACAGTGAGATCAATACAAGCAATAAACTTTCCAATCAATCCAACATACAACCATTCAGCTGGCATTTTAACACTCTCTCAGGCTAATACCTTTGTAATTGCAGCACAATTCTGCATTATTTCTTGATATTAATACAATCTATACAACTATGTTCAATTATAGTAAGATTAATGTGATTCTGATTATTTAAAATTCATTTTTACAATGGTTTTTTCTGTTAGCAAATGTTTTCTTTCGTTAAGCCTAATGTTCAAACAAATATAATGTGTTCAAATTTAAAATTCTGATTATATAAAAAGTTCAAACATACTTAATATCACCTTTGGATATACTTCCTTAAGTTTTTTACATAAATGGGCCCAATTGAATAAGATAAAATGCATAAACAATTTTATTTTAATCCTGAATTGCAGTTAGAATCTAGAGAGAGTAAAGTAATACATCACTTTATCTCGTTATCTCATATCTTCTCTTCCATTTTAAGATATTTTACCTCCTTCACATACAAAATTGTTTTGGAAGATTGAAGAACTCTTTAGAATGGATTAAAAGAAACTTGGAGCAAATTAAGAGAAATTAACTACACTATAGAAGAGAAAGTATATTTCTGCTTGCCTTCAGAGATGCAAATTAAAAGGAATGTGGCCAAGAAACTACACACAAGAATATGTATGAGGCGCATATTTGCAATTTCACACAAAGTAAACTAATGTTTTTCAGGCGAAGACACACATGGAGAGAAAAGCCAATAGCAAACCAAAAAAGAGAACTCAGATAAACCATACACATCAAAAGAATGAAAGCTTACACTCTGAAAGAGTTGACAGACCTCTCATTGCCTCCCTCAATTCCAAAATATTCCCTACCATTGCCCTACTTGGCTGGCCTCCTTCAGAACAAAGTGGTGGTTTCAACTACTGATCGGTCTTGTTTTATAAGAAGATTCTGAAATCTACAAGGAGTTATAAAGTATTTTTGAAAATATGTTTAATTGTAGCACATTAAATTGCAGCAAGTCAGACTTCCAAAGTTTTTATAGGATAGGGTAGGTAGGGATAGGGTGGGTTAGGGTAGGGATTGATGCTATAAATCACGTGTGTCAAACTCAGTCACGTCCCATGCCGTATCACCTCATTTTTTGTCTTTGTGGAGCTGGGGTAGGCGTGGCCTGTGTGTGATGCATGTGGCCTGTGGGCTGCCACTTTGACACCCCTGCTATAAATGAATCATATTAAAACCTACATCTCCTTTGTCTGGGTTGCAAAACTCTGGCCAACCACGAGATGGCAGCAAATGTCTACATACACTATATGTCTTTGCGGGCATCTAGCAATCAGTCAGCTTTATCAATCTAATTATGGCTGCCCTACTATAGAGGTCACAATAAAAGCAAGTTGTCATCAGTCATCTGTTTCTTTCTGAAAATAAACTCAAGAAAAAACTTGCAACCTATTTCCACCACAAAAGACAAAAATACAGCAATAAAAATGGAAAAGCATATGTCTCTGTTCTACTAATTAGCATATGGAGAAAATTACTTGAGAGTATTTAAAGTCCATGCCTGTATCACATGAAACAACTGCCAGCCTGCTAGCACAAACTCATGGACAAAACTGGGGTTCCTGTTTCTTCATCTATAAAGATGTAAAAATGTTAATATTTTAATACAAAGCAGTAGAAGGTTGACTCAAGTCTTCTTGCTATGTCTCTAAAGTCTAGTATTTCGAAAACTGTAATGAGAACCAATTGCCACTTACCAGTGATTCACCCATCAGTGAGTTAGAAAGAGCGTTAGAAACAGCCTGTAGCTTCCCTTTAAGATGCACGCAGCCAAGCACTGCACGGAAAGTATCCCCTTCCCTGTCCAGTCCTTCTCCCAATACTGCAATCAAAAGCAGATACCATACACTTAGACTTAGAATAACTTTACTGTCACTTTGAATGTACACAAATAGGCATATATTAAAATGAAATTTCGTTACATACAGCTCTCAAGGGTCACCACCTTCAATATACACTATATAAACATACCATATTTTTCAAAGTATAAGACACACTGAAGTATAAGACACACCAAGATTTTGAAGAGGCAAATTTTTTAAAAAAGTTTTTGCACTCTGCAGACCTCCTAAAAACGCATTTTTTTTGTCCAAAAAAGGGCATACATAGCCTTTAGAAGGCTTGTAGAGTGCTCATGGGGGCTGCCCCCCCCTCCAAAAATGAGCAAAAATTTCCAATTTTTCACAAAAACAGGCCCATTTTTTGTCAAAAAAAGGGTATGCATAGTCTTTAGGAGGCTTATAGAGTGCTCCTGGGGACTGTGGGGGGGGGGGACAAGCAAAAAAACAGCCTGTTTTTTGCCTCCCCCCAGCCCTCAGCAGCACTCTGGAAGCCTTTTTTTAGGGAAAAAGGTGCGTCTTATACTCCGAAAAATATGGTACGTACGTACGTACATACGTACGTACGTACATACATACATACATAATTATGCATATATCTACATATATGAGACAGAAAAACAACATAGTCTAGTCCGGATGTATACATGTACATGGCAAGAAAAACGAGTCTTGCGAATTTACCAGACAGATGGCATAGGAAACAAAGCTATTATAGAATACATGATATAGTAGACCATATTATTTGCTGTACTATATAGACACTCTCCTCTGCCACAACAGCCAACAGAAGTCACAATATGAAGTGAACTATAGCACTTTTAATAATTTAAAATTTAATTTTCCTGATGGGCAGCTCTCTTTATATTTGGAGAATATATGGGGCAGTTGACTTCACCCGAGTCTTATGAATTTACTTATCTCCAAATAAGTATCTAGGCGGCCACAAATGCTATGGTGCATCTGAGGCCACTATTGACCACTGAGTGCATGGAGACTACTGAGCTGTTCCCAGTGATACATTTTGGAAAAATAAGAAATGATCCAAATATTCACGCACACTTTTTCATAGCTAAGCTAATGATATGTATGAAGAGTTACTAAACATGAAAGCCCAATGTTTACAATGTTTGGAAATATGGATCCTGGATTATATTAATTGGGTGGCCTTTTGAGACCATGACACTTTGACTGTATTCATGTAATTCACTATCCATTATTCATTCAAATTAAAGAAGATAACCAATTTAGAATGAGAATACTCTTACATCAAAATACATTTTAGAACAAGTGATATCCACAAATATAAGCGCTTAAATTCAAGGCAGCACTTAATATGGCCTGTGGCCTCTACATGCACAGACTTGACTGCTAGTGTTCATTTATGAGAATAAAGACTTTGAAAATCTGAAGCTGGAAGGGGAATATCAGAGTCGCCTTTGAAGAGGACTGGCTTAGCGCTCTTTTTCCTACTACAATTAAGATTTGGAGAGGGAACTTGTACTGAATCTAATAGATTTTTTTCCTAGTCTAATTGAGGCACTTTTACATGTATTGGCATAAGACAGAGATAATTAATAATGTTAATAACCTTTAAATGAATGTAAAGAATGTGCTGAAATGCATGTATTAACCACAGATGTGTACAGGTAGTCCTCAACTTACAATCATTTGTTTAGTGACTGTTCAAAGATACAATGGCACTGAAAAAGTGACTTATGACCATTTTTAACACAATCATTGCAACATCCCCATGATCAAAATTCAGATGTTTGGCAACTGGCATGTATTTATGATCACTGCTGTGTCCCAGGGTCATGTAATGATTTTTTGTGACTTTTTGACAAACAAAGACAATGGGGAAGCCAGATTCACTTAACAACCTTGTTATTAATTTACAACTACAGTGATTCACTTTACAACTATGGCTAGAAAGATCGTAAAATGGGACAAAACTCACTCAACTATCTTGCTTAGGAATGGAAGATTTGGACTCAATTGCGGTCATAAATCACCTGTATATGCACTCCTTCTTCTGCCTACAAACATCTAAGCTAAAACCATGGCCTGGTTCTCTCCTGAGCCTTGTGCCTCCAATGGCTCCACAGACTTCCTTCCATCATCCATCAACATTCTTCTCAAAAACAGCTAATTTGGTCATCTGTCATTCAATCTGACCTTTCCCAATACTTATTTCCAGAAAAATTCAGAAATATTGCATTGCTTTAGTTTAGAAAAAAATTATACAGTTTAGACAAAGTGCATTCGTATGTCAGCCCTCAGGCTGCCATCCAGGGGGAACCTGTCCATCACCATGCCTGCTGGGCCATGCTTACACGCCACTAACGCTGCCACGTTGATGTTGCCTCTCTGATGTCGATTAAGCCTGTAGCTGCATGTAACTCTTCTACTTGGGTGCGACTGCCTACTCTGATGTAACTCTTTTGCTTGGATGCGGCTAACCAGGAAAGAGGCTATGATGACACTGAGTGGGGGTGTGCCT